GCAGAGAGCCCATGTCTTGTGCTTGAACACACCTTACTAGATTACTTCATTTTTATTTCTTTTTATATTTATTTAGAGACACGGTTTCTCTGTAGCTTTGGAGCCTAGCTCTTGTAGACCAGGCTGGCCTCGAACTCACTGAGATCTGCCCGCCTCTGCCTCCTGAGTGATGGGATTAAAGGTGTGCGCCACCACCGCTGGGTTTTGGCTAGAATACTTCTAATCTAACTAAATCTTAGACCCTCTGAGCTTTTTTCCTCAGTTTTAAACAGATATTAACTCATATGACAGGTAATGTAAAAGCCCTCTGAAGACCTAATATTTGTACATTTCTCTTTTTCTTTGAGACAGACTCACTATGTACCTCAAAATGGCCCCAAACTGTGTAGCCAGACAGCCCAAACTGTGTAGCCAGACAGCCCAAACTTGAAGCCGTTCTCCATTTCAGTCTCCAAAGTGTTGGATTTTAAGCGTAAGAAATAAGGGATGGCTTTCTTATAATAAAGGGGCAGGCAGTGGGGATGACAGGAGGGCTGGGGAAATGACCCTATTGGTACATGTCTAGCAAGCATAAAGCGCTGGGTTTGATCTCCACTACTGAATAAACTGGACATCCACGGCACATGCCTACGATCCCAGCACTCAGGCAGAAGCGGGAAATCACAAGTTCAAGGTCATCCTCAAATACACAGCAGGTTTGCCAGTCTGGGCTACATGAAACCTTGTCTTAGCCAGAAATGATACTCAATCAGGGGAAGATGGAATTTTAGGAAGTTGGTATCCTTTTCCCACCAGGCCACGGCTCTGTCATCAGGCAGGAATACTGCCCTCTCCTTTCTGGATGTTTTGTGATGGGTTCCTGTTTATGCTGTTCTCTCCTTTAGCAGGCAGGCCTGGATGAAGTGAAAGGTTCTTGCTACACGGCTTGTCAAAGTCAGGTCAAATTACACGTTCGAGGATCTGGAACCAACCACCCTGCCATACAAACCACATCTTCTTGAACTGCAGTTTCAAGTGACCGTACCCTCCACTAGCCTGGGGAAACTGTTCTAAGTGGCTCGGTGCCTACTCTGTATAGGAAGCAGAACCCAGGCTTTAGGCAACTCTAAAAGGTGTGGCCAGTGGCCTGACCCCGTGGGGCAGGGATTGCGGTGTGCAGAAGAATGAGGTGCACCAAGGGGGAGATGGAAAATTTTAAATATAAAATCCTGTATGTCTCTCCAAGCTAATGTTTTCTCGAAGGGAATAACTCTACAGTCACAATTTTCTGAGTGGCAGTCTCTAGCCAGAGGAACCTTCAGGCACAGACTGGGAACACATACAAATCAACTCCCTATCCCCTCTTTCCTCCATATCGGTCAAAGCTAAACTCTACTGCTTCCCTGACATCCCGATGTCTCCACTCTACTAAATTCTTCACTGGCCAACTCAAATGCCACCAACTTCCAGAGGCTTTCCGACACCAGGCCAGCGTTGATATTACATCTCTAACACCAGTTACAGAGCATACACCAATTTCTTATTTATCTCGGGAGACTAAGTGCCTCAAATTACTTATCTCTAGAATGGGTTCGTAAAGTCCACTTATAGAAGCAGCAGTGAAGGCACAGGAATCTGGGAAAGCGAAATGCGTCCCAGGCACCCAGGCTGAGGATTCAAGCTGTGAAAGTTCGAGGGTATAGGAAAGTGGAAGGGGAGGGGCTGAGTCAGGCGGCGGTCAGTGCCACCCTAGGCTGGAATAAGACCAGGATTCCTAAGAGGGTAGGAGCCCTGCTCGGCGTCCTCTCTGTAATCTGTCCCCTCCAGGCCTCCGTACTCAGTGAGCCTACAGTTCGGCTCCCTGCCGCTGCGGGCTTCTTTCTGGGCCCCAAGTCCCGCGGTCGTAGCCCACAGTCCCAAACCCGCCAGCCGCGCCGCACCTGGTCCGAGTCCTCGTTTTCGCTGCTATAGCAGCACCCCATGGCGGGGTAGGGCCGGGCGCTCAGGCGGCGCCGAGGAGGGACGGCGTCCGTCAGGAGCCTTTCCGGTCACATGACCCGCAGCTGCCACCCGCTCCCCTCCCCCGCTTAGCCTGTCCCAAAACCTCTAGGACACCGCAGCCAATTCGCGACTTCCGGTCCCGCCCCTCCGCGTGACCATAGCCGACCAATGGAAAAGCGCGTCCTACGTGCAGGGCGCGTGGCACGTGACCCGAGGGGCGGGTCACATGATTTTGTTTTCCCAGTCTCTAGCTCTGAATCCTTTGGTCTCCTGGCCCGAGAGTGAGTTGTGAGGTCACGTGGTGTCAAGGCCACCTTTGTGGGTGCGAACTTTATTAGATAAACTGTTCTGCGCCACGAGAGGGCCGCTTCCGTCAGGAGCTCTTTGCCAGTTTCTTTGTATCTGTGTGATCAAGGTTTCTCCATTTAACCTGGCTAGCTTGAAACTCGCTGTGTAGACTAGGCTGCTCTCGATTTTATAGAACCACTTGCTTCTGCCTTCCGAGTGCAAGGATTACATGTATGTCTGTGTGCCCGGCAAAACTGAGTTCGTATATGAGTGTGAACACGTGTCATGCTGCACGTGCGGAGGTCACGGGATGACTTGTGGAAGTTAGTTGTATCTTTCCTCCATGTATTTTCTAGGGATTGAAGTCAGGTGGTCAGGCTTTCTGGCAGGCGGTTTCTAGCCAGATTAAGGTGAATTCTGTCTGCACTGGCAGATGGCAGACACTTCTCATTAGGAATTACAGTTCAAATACAAACCTTTTCTGATCCTATTCTGAGCACTTTTCCTCCCTTTACTTAACCCAGTGGTATTTACTTATTAAATTAGCAAATGCTGGGGCTAGAAACGATTCAGTGATGAGAAGCACTGACTGCTGCCTCCAGAGGACTGAGTTCAATTTCCCAAAACCCACATGGTGGCTCACAATCATCGATAACTCCAGTCCCAGGATAAACGGTGCCCTCTTCTGGACTCATACATGTACACCGTGTATAGACACACATGCAGATCAACCATGAATACGCATAATTTTTTTCTTTTTTTTTTTTTTCCGAGACAGTTTCCCTGTGTAGCTTTTGGAGCCTGTCCTGGAATTTGCTCTATAGACCAGACTGGCCTCCAACTCAGAGATTCGCCTGCCTCTGCCTCCCAGTGCTAGAATTAAAGGTGTGCGCCACCACCGCCCGGCTGAATACACAAAAAATTAAAAACAGACACCCACCCCCACCCCCGCCAAGGGCTGGAGAGATGGCTCAGAGGTTAATAGCACTGGCTGCTCTTCCAGAGGTCCTGAGTTCAATTCCCATCAACCACAAGGTGGCTCACAACCTCTTTTGGCATGCTGGTAGAACATTGTATACATAATAAATAAATTTTTAAAACAAAAACATAAATATTTACTGGCTATAGTGTGCCACTCCCTCACAATTGTGGAATTCCCTAGTCTGGTGATCACACTGTATTTTTATTGAGTTTCTGACTTCATCACTTCTCCCAAATGTGAGCCACTGAAAGTCTAACTTCTCTGTGACCTATACCCTAAAATTTACAGAAAACTTGGATTTTGAACTGAGTAAATAGTCTCAATTATTTTGGCTTGTATCATGCCCCATGTCCTGGTCCCAAGGGTTTGGAGATGTCACCAGGCTTATCAGCATTTATTCTTCAAGACCCTAGAGTTCTCCTAAGTTTCTCTAGGGTACCTGAAAAAAGGAAGCTGCTGAAGTTTGTCACTGGGCCTGGTAACCTGAGCTTCAGGTCTCAGGTAACAACAGCCTCAGCATCAATAATTGAAATCAGGTCCAGTCTCCTTCTTCAGGGTTATTCCTCTCAAGAACTTCCCATTCCGGTACTCTGGTCTTTTCTAGGAGCCTTCAGCCCAGGTAAGCAGGGCCTTGTGGGTTCCCAAGCACACCAATTCCTGTCCATATCACAAACCTTTTTACATTTATTCATATACTCTAAATTTTAGCATACACTCCCCTTCCAACTAAAGGTCTTGCAAAAACAGTCTGCCAAGGTGAGATCTGGGTAGGGGGGAAGTGGGAGGAAAAAGGACAGCTATCCATCCCCTAAAGGGTCCTGGAGAGGAAAGCTGGATAGTGTAAAAGTGGGGTGTGTGTGTGCATATTTCACTTACGAGGCGAATTCTTCGTGGGGGGAATAGAAAAGGAGAAAATACATAGAACCAAGGAGGACAAACACCTCAAGAAAAAAGCAGACAGAAAGTGTCCTTGGATAGAATTAACTTGGTATAGAGGTAGAATTTATTTTTGAGACAGGGTCTCAAATGTAGCTCACACTGGCTTTAAACTTGAGATCCTTCTACCTCAGTCTTTCTCATGATGGGATTACAAGTGTGCACCAAAATACCATGGATAGTACTTATTTTGTACTTTTAAAAGATTTTATTTCTATTTCATATGTACTGATGACTTCTGTGCACCATGTGCATGCAGTGTCTGTGGAGACCAGAAGAGGGCATCAGATCCCCTGGAACTGGAGTTACCGACAGTTGTGATTGACCATAGATGTTGGTGTTGAGAATCAAACCCAGGGCCTTTGAAGAGCAGTCAAGAGCTCATTGGAGCCAACTCTCCAATGTTTGAGAATTTTGTGTATTTTGTTTTGGTTTTTGCTAAGTTTTTGTTTGTTTGTTTTGTTTTGTTTTTGCTTATACTCATGTTCACCACTGGGTGAGCCCTTGAGGGGGTTGGATGTCCTGCCACTGGGGTTATAGATGTTTTTGAAACGCCATGTGAGTTCTGGGATTGAACTGAGATCCTCTTGAAGAGCAGCAAGTGCTTTTAACCACTGAGCCATCTCTCCAGACCCAGGCATAGTGTTTGACCCTTTTAATAAAGTGCAGCATAGTGAGAGCATGACAGGGTTTGAAGACAAAGCTTTTATCTTTTGTTTTTGTTTTTTGGTTTTTTTTTTGGTTTATTTTGGTTTTTCTTTTTTGAGATGGAGTTTCTCTATGTAGCCCTGGCTGCTCTGGAACTCATTCTGTATACCAGGCTGGTCTTGAACTCAAAGAGATCCTCCTGCCTCTGTCTCCTGAGTGCTGGAATTAGAGGCATGTGCCACCAATGACTGGCAAGTTTTTTTCTTTGGCTACACTATAATGGATCAGAGATTATGGGAGGAAGATACACCAAGAAACTGATGAAAAAGGTCCTGAAGAGGAATGATGTTAGGGAGGTAAGAAAATGGGCAGGTGTAGGAACAGTACAGAAATGGATTCTGTTAGGACTAGAAAGGGAGACAGCTGTGGCTGGGTACTGAACACAGGCAGCATGGCATGAAGAATGCGTAGGCTGGATTCAATCCCATCTGCTGTGTCTGACAAGTCAGTCTCTCAGCCAGGTGGCAGCAGCGCACGCCTTTAATCCCAACACTCAGGAAGTAGAGGCAGGCTGATCTCTGAGTTCCAGGCCAGCCTGGTCTACAAGAGCCAGTTCCAGGACAGGCCCCAAAGCTACAGAGAAACCCTGTCTCGATAAACCAAAAGTCAGTCAGTCTCTGTCAGCCATGGTTTGGACAGGCAAATAGTACACGTAGGTTTCCCTCCCAGCCTCCCTCTGTCCTAGGACTCAGGTAGGAACAATGTCCCCTGCCATTGCACTGGCATTCCTGCCACTCGTGGTGACACTGCTGGTGAGATACCGACACCATTTCCGACTGCTGGTGCGCACAGTCCTGCTGAGAAGCTTCAGGGACTGCCTGTCAGGACTTCGAACTGAGGAGCGGGCCTTCAGCTACGTGCTTACCCATGCTCTGCCTGGAGACCCTGGTCACATCCTCACCACTCTAGACCACTGGAGCAGCTGCTGCGAGTACCTAAGTCACATGGGCCCTGTGAAAGGTCAGCGTTCCCTTCTCCAGTCTTCTTTTTCAGAAATAATCCCAAGATAGTGATCCCAGCACTCGGGAGGCAGGGGCAGGCGGATCCCTGTGAGTTCGAGGCCAGCCTGGTCTACAGAGCAAGTTCCAGGACAGGCTTGATAGCTACAGCGAAACCCTGTCTCGGATAAACCAAAAAAGGAAAAGATAGTGAGGAAAGATCTGGTATCTGGTATTCACTGCTTTGCTGGGTATGTAGGAAGCTTCATGGCTGTGTTTATGACTTTTGTTTTTCACTGGAAATGAGGAGCCTGGACCAAGTTATTTAATTATCCAGCAGACATTTATTGCCACTCTTTTGTACCAGGTGCTGAGGGAGGAGGTAGAGGTCACAGAGGGTGAACCAGCAACAAATGCTGGTCCCAGAGAGCATAACACAGTGGGAAAATCGTAACTCAGAACTTTGTAGTTATCTGTACTAGATTTTCTTTCCTACCAGAGGCTTTCACATCCAACTGAGGATAGCTGTCGTCTAGACAGCACAGTATTTCTAACTATTATGAGACTTAGCCAATTCCAAAATCAAAATCACAATGAGCAATAAGGGAGTGCAGGGGTTTGAGGATGAAACTGAAAGTGTCTCAGGAGCCTTGAAGATAGGGGGGTTGTTTTGCCTGAACCATCCTGGAGGAAGGAACATTTAAACTGAGTCTAGAATGCTTGGATGGAGATAGGAGTGGTCAAGGGCAGTCAAGCTCATGTATAAATACAGCACAAAGCAAGCACAGAGCATGTTTGATACCGGGCACACCTGGTTTGGATCTCTTCTACAACAGCCATCTTGCCCCTTAGGTCAGATTCTGATGCGGCTGGTGGAAGAGAAGGCCCCTGCTTGTGTGCTGGAGCTGGGCACCTACTGCGGATACTCTACACTTTTTATTGCTCGGGCTTTGCCTCCTGGGAGTCGCCTTCTCACTGTGGAGCGGGACCCTCGTACAGCAGCAGTGGCTGAAAAACTCATCCGGCTGGCTGGCTTCGATGAGCAAATGGTCAGCTTCCATCTCCCCAGCTCGAGCCAGGTTTCTTTTGGGAAGGTCTCCCATTCAAGGAAGCAGCTCCACTCAGGCAGCTGGCATCCCAGAGGGCATGTAACGCCTACTCCCTCAATCCCAAGTCATTTGCTCTTATTTTCTATGGACTAAAAAGACAGCAGCTAAGAGGAAGCTCTCCACAGCCAAGCAAATCTCAGTCCAAATCTTATTGTTCAGTTAGTTGTGTGACCTCAGGTACAGCACATATCCTGTGATTCCCAGCTTCTTCATGGAACATAACAGGAATTACAGTGCTGATGCTGACTACTCAATTTCTGAGGCCAGAGGAAATGGGAGACACTTGTGCAGGCCTAGACCAGTGCCGGCATGAAATCAGTCTGATCATGGGGGGATCAGGAGAGGGAAAGCAGTCCTCTTATTCTCACCTTCACGATGGCTTTCCCCACAGGTGGAGCTCATTGCGGGCAGCTCAGAGGAAGTTATCCCACGCCTAAGAGCTCAGTACCAGCTGAATCGGGCAGATCTGGTGCTACTGGCACATCGACCTCGATATTATCTAAGGGATCTGCAGCTACTGGAAGCCCATGCTCTACTCCCAAGTGGTGCCACTGTATTGGCTGACCATGTGCTTTTTCCTGGTGCACCCCGCTTCCTACAATACACAAAGAGCTGCGGCCGCTATCGCTGTCGCCTCCACCACACCAGCCTCCCAGACTTCCCTGCCATCAAGGATGGCATAGCCCAACTCACCTATGCTGGACCTGGCTGAGATCTAGAACCTGGGATAAATTACTGACACAACCCCAACCCGACTCAAGCAAGGACCTCAGAATATTCCCTTTCCCTTTCTGTTAGTGTCCAACATATGCTAGGTTCAGGCTGGGGAAGCTTTCTTCTCAACTCTGCCTGCTCCCAACCTCCATATCAATCCAAAGTGTCAAATTCTATCAGTCTTCTTGGTCCCACAAGATCCTCTCCTAGACAACTGGAAACTGGAAGCAAGAGTCCTGAGCCCTTGTTCTGTTATCGATTGCTCCCTCCAGGTGAGTCCTTCCTTCTTCTGAGATTCTTATTCTCTTAATACTAAGGGCTGGAAAGATGGCTCAGCAGTGAAGAGCACTGGCTGCTGCTCCCTATCTAGAGGACTCAGGTTCAATTTTCAGCACTCACATGGCACAGGCACACATGTGATATACATACACACATACATACAAAAAATCTCTAAGCATAAATAAATTACAACAAAAAGACAGCTGGCTGGCAGAGCCCCAGAGCCTCCCAGCTGTGAGACTCAGACAGCTTCTGGATGGAATCAGAGGCAGCTGCAGACAATGAGGCCCCGTAGAGCATCCAGGTACAAGCTAGGCCACAAGAATTATCAATCACAGAAGCCTGGCCTCCAATCCTGGCACACTTGGTCAATTAGGTTTGCTTGAGATCCCTTAAAGACCCCTTCCCACTGTCCAAGAAAAGATACTGGACTCCTCTGGGTCCCACCAACAAACAGGGAATAGACATTGGGGGAAAGAATCAGTCCTGTGTCTTTATTAAAGAGGGTTAGAAAGAGACCACACCTGGCAACCAAGGAATGAGGTACCAGCCAGGAAGGTGGGATGGGCTCAGGCTCTAGGGATTCAAGGGAAGACTGATGGCCTGGGAGGGCCCAAGGAGACCTTGTCCTGGAAGCAGCAGAGACAGTGCCTAAGGGGAAGCTTTAGACACTACAATCACAGCTGGTTCTGCAGGCTGAGGGGCTGAGGCTGTGGATGTAAGATAGGTTGGGGTGGCCAGGAATCACCCTGAGGCCACCTTGGCTTGTCTACCTAGATCATCCACTGGTCCTGATCCTGTTCGTTGCCTTCCATGTCCACCTGAAGAGGAGGCTGGGTGTGGGTGGGGAGGGGCCTCAGCCAGCCTCAGCCCAGATCCTGCCCCTGGGTAGAGCCAGGGTTTTTGCATCCCTCGGCCATCAGTTAGATCAGGGGCAGGAGCCTAGGAACAAAGGCACTCCCTACACCCCGCCTACCTCGTTGACCTCTCCATCATCAGGGGACTCATTATAGTCATTCATCTCATCCATGTCCTGCATGTCCTCATCATCTTCTGAATCCTCTTCACTGTCCTCGTCATCTTCATCATCCTCTTCTTCCTCATCATCATAGTGCTGGTGGGGCCAGAGAGAGTCTGGAGGTCTCAGGGCTACCTGGGCCAGGTCAAGAGCTGGCCTACAGGGAGCCTCCTCCTTTCCATCCCTGCCCACCTTGAGTATGGAAGGCTGCTGCATGACATGGAGGACCTTAATGCTAGGCCTAATGCCTACCCCCTCAAGTACCCACTTTTGCTGCCTACCCAGATTAAGAACAATCGTTCTGAGTCAGAAGCAAGGCCATTAAATTAAAATGAAGCCCTGATCTACTGGGCTCCACACGGTCCCCATCCGCTGGGGCCACTCACCTCTGAGGCTGGCTTGCCAATAGGTACCAGGTTGTTGTCTTTCTCTGCGATGCTTTGGAGCTGTGGGCAAAGGAGTTTGGGGAAAAGTGGGCCAAGGCCCAAGCAGAGCAGGTCAAGGGCATAGGACTAGCTTACTCTATCCCTTCCAAGATCCCCAAATGTTGAAACAAAACTTCTTCCCCCCAGTTCCCAGGAAGATTCGACCCCCTTTCTCCTGTCATCTGCTCTTTATAAAATTGTGTATGAAGTCTTTTGGTCTCAGGTTTCTCATATAATTCTGGAGAGAGTAAAATGAGACACTCAGCCTGGAATATGGCATCTTGTAGGCCCTCACTAAGTAATTAAGTTAAAATCATTAAGTTCTGTGATATATAGATAGAATTCAGGCTGTCAGGAGCTTGACAACTAATCTAGCCCTGAAGTCCTGTTCCCTCAAGCAGTTAGGGTTCCACAAAATGAGAACTTCAGCCTCCAAGTACCCAGCGTGATTATCCCAACTCAGAGAGAAATGCTTTTCCCAAGCAGGTCTCCAGGATAAGGTAAGGTCGTCTCCATGCTGAGCTAGGTCCTCACTCACCCAGGCCTGATGCTGCTGCTCCTGCTGCTGCAGCTCTGTCTCCTCCACACAGGGTCGATCCAGATTAAACCACAGTGTCTCAGTCACACGAGGGAACAGTGACGGGAACAGGGTGGACATGGCCCCTAAGCTGAGGGAGAGGTTCAAGTGAGTACGTTTTGTTTTGTTCTGATGCAGTTGTAATTTGATTTAGGGGTGGGGTGGAGTGGAAGGCAGCAGAGAAGCTTCCCTTCCCTTTCGAAATCAGACAGACCTGAGTTTGAGTCCTGGCTCCATCACTTACTAGCTGTTTGACTTTGGCCAATACACTTAACCTCTCTGGGCCTCAGTTTCCTCATCTGTAAAAATGGGGATAATAACAATTATATCATCCTTAAAGTTATTCTGACAACAAAACAAAATAATGGATAAATTCGTTTGCCGCTTAAGAAGAGAAGAGACTGGGAGCCAGAGATGAAATGTGGCATTGTGATTATATACAAAATTAGCACTAGCAGGAATCCAGTAAAATTCTCCTTTAACATACACACAAACACACAGACAACATAAAACTCATTCTTTGCTCTTTTGATTAATATCACATCCAACCAGTGCAAAAATGTTTTGGACATGAACCACCTCTCACCGACCAGTCAAACTGCACAACACACAAGTAGGAAGCATGGACAAATAGACAGACAATAAACAGAAGAATGAATGATGAACTGACATGTGAGAGAACAAATAAAATCAACTTTGTGGATTAAAGTTGAAGCCCAGGAAGGTCAACAAGAAGCTGATTTAAAATCTACCAGCTCATAAGACCCAGTGACAGGTAGGCTTGACTTTATGTCGCACGCTGGGTGGGGTTTATTTAGAACACACACAAGGAAGGGATCCTAGTCCAGCAATGTAGCAAAAGAACAGGAAAAACAGAATTGGTGTCCCCCCCCCTTTTTTTTTTCCAATGAGATAGGGTCTCATTAAGTAGCCCTGGCTGGTGTGGAACTCACTATAAAGACCAGGCTAGTCCCAAACTCACAGAGATCCGCATGCCTCAGCCCCCGAATGCTAGGATTAAAGGCGTACACCAGCCATCACACTCGGCTCTACTCTATCTTTTGTTCTAATCTGATCCACGCAGAACTAGCCGCTGCCATTCCCTAGACCAGAGTTTCCCAGACCCGTGTGACAGGAAAACGGGGCCAGCCCTCATCCCAAAAGTACTGACAGAATCTGTATCCTAAAACCCTACCCACCACCGCCCATTCTTGGCTCATTATGATAGTAACTGTGAGCTTGACCAACAGGAAGGAGGTAGGGGCGGGTCTCTGACAGAATTTTGCCCTAATAGGGATGCTAGTCGCAAAAAATGCGCGCGGCCTGGCTGAAGCCAATTAACTGAAAGAAATGCTGGGTGACAGGAAGTGAAACCAATGAATGACGGAACTTGTGTGATGGGTGGGGCTTAGATTTAAGGAAGCGGCCAATGAACAGGATGTCGTTAAGCGTCAAGGAGCGGAATATGAGTTGCTGGGAAGGCGAGTCAAAGGAACTGGGTTTCTCTGGAAGCAGGAAGAAAGAACGAGCAAGGAGACGGCAACAGCTTCGTTTCCGCACTTACCGCGCCAAGAACCGGCAGCCGGCAGCGACCCGGAAGCGCTTCCCCAAGCCTGAACGGAAGAATCCACCAAATTCCGGGACCCACTCAACGCATGCGTCCTCCGTCTTCTTTTGTTTCCCGCTCTAACCTACCAGACCGGAAGTGATGTGACGTAACGTAGCACGCTCTAGTTGGGGGGGGACACTTACTTGCCAGGCCTACCTGTTGGCCCCGCCTGGAATCTCAGGCCTCGGGTTTCTGCAGACCGAACCCTTCCCCGGCCTGGCGTTAGGCCGTGCGTGCGTGCGTGCGAGCGAGCGTGAGTGCGTGCTAGTCTCTTGGGAATAATGCCTCCCATAGACGTGCGACGTGCGCTTGTTTGAACGTGCGTGTGTCTCGCTGCGTTTCAGGACATCTATTTCCAGCCTTCTCAGTCTCCCATTTGAACAATTTTTTTTTTTTTTTTTTTTTGGTGAGGATACCTTGAACATGCTGGACAAACCTCATATTCATAATATTTTCTTTTCATTTTTGAGACAGGGTCGCACTGTGTATTCCTGGCAGGCCTGAAACTCACTTTGTAGACCAGGCTAGCCTCGAATTCTTCCTGCCTTGCCCGTGCCTGTATTAAAAGTGTGCACCACCATACTGGCCTCCTTTGAGTTATTTAATTTTAAATTTTATCTTATGTGTATGAGTATTTGGCCTGCATATATGTATTTGGTGCCTAGTGGTTGTAGATGCCAGAAGAGATTGTTAGATCTCCAAAATCCAGCTGGAGTTAAAGAAGGTTGTGAGCCACCATGGCAGTGCTGGAAATTGAACATGGGTCCTCTGGAAGGGCAGCTAGTACTTTTTTGTTGTTTTGGATTTTACAGGCACGGTTTCTCTGTAACTGCCCTAGCTGCCCTGGAACTCGCTTTGTAGACCAGCCTGACTTTGAATTCTCAGAGATCTGCCTCTCTCTCTCTCTCTCTCTTTCTCTCTCTCTCTCTGTCTTTTATATGTTGTTTTTCTTTTCTTTTCTTTTCTTTTTTTTTTTTCCGAGACAGGGTTTCTCTGTAGCTTTGGAGCCTGTCCTGGAATTGCTATGTAGACCAGGCTGGCCCCAAACTCACAGAAATCCGCCTGCCTCTGCCTCCCGAGTGCTGGGATTAAAGGCGTGCACCACCACCGCCGGGCCTATATGTTGTTTTTCAAGACAGGGTATCTCTTATGTAGCCTTAGCTGTCCTGTAATTCACTCTATAGACCAGACTGGTCTGGAACTCAGAGGTTCACCTGGCTCCTAAATGCTGGAATTAAAGAATTGAAGATATGTGCCACCACACCTGGCCTTTCTCATTCTTTTATGTATGCCTTGGACAAAAAAGTATTTTGTGTCTGAAGTCTGTTCCAGATTCTGATACAAACTGGGAAGAAATCTATGAACATGGCTGTTGCCCTCAAAATCCTTATAACAAGCTTATGGAACTAGTCAGCTGTAGACACTGCATTCTATTTCTAGGAAACTCAACGGCTCTTCTGAGGTGTCGTCCAAACGCCCTGGGAAGGTCTTGGTTACCTGTTCCAGTACTGATGCCTCATTTTGCCTCTGCTTTGGCTTTCCCAGTCATCCAAAGTCTCACTGTTGTCCCAACTAGACCTGTAAACTTTGGAAAATTCATTAGTGTTTTTGTTCATTTGTTTTTCTTTTCATGAGCACGTGGTGTGTGTGGGTGCACATATTTGAATGTATGCAAGTGCACATGCATGTATATGTGAACAACCCAAGGTGACCCTGGGAATCTTCTTCAGTGGTCTGTCTAAGACTTTAATAAACTCTGCTTTTTAAAATTGTGGTAGCACAGACCCATAATCCTAGCACTCAGAAACGCGAGGCAAGAGGATGTGAAGTTGGACTAGGCTGTATAGCATG